TATAGACCAGGTGTTTTGCTTTGAGCACTTGTACCTTTAAGAGCATACCTTGTGTGTTCCTTTGAGTTGTAATGTAATATCTATAGTTTTCGGATCAATAAACTTATTTACCTTCCCAAAAAAAGAAGAAACAAGTCATCAACAATTTTTATTTAAATTGGTGTAGTGAAAAATTCCTAATACTGGTTAGAGATGTAGGAATCTAATTATTGATTAAAAAAATGTAATTCTAATATTTTGTAGTCTCACTTTCATAATTTAACCATGTCATTTTTTGAAATCTTATGAGATTTATATATGCTTGCTCAGAGAATATATTATTGAAAATAAAATTTATTTTTTATAAACAAAAAAAGAGTTTATTTTGGCAAAATGTCGATGCAAATACTCTTTTTTGCTTCTATAAAAAATATTTGTTTTGACAAAATGCCGAGACAAAAATCATTTTTACGTTTGCAAAGAGTATTTACTTTGGTAAAATGTTGAAACAAAAAGGGACTATTTGTATCGGCAAAATGCCAAAGCAAAAAAAGACTATTTGTTCGGCACAAAATGCCAAAGCAAATAGTTACATTTTTCTTCGGTCTTTTTTACTTTGGTAATTTATCGATGCTAATACATTTATGCTTCGACAATAAACTGAATCTAACTTTTTACATCAGACACTTTTTACTCTGCTCCCTTTGCCAAATCAAAAGCCCTCGTTCTTGTAGTGTCACTTGTATGATTGTTGGAGGATTTTTATTTGCACATGTAATGTTTTCGATGAATCATACTTTAAACTTTTAAATAATGATGTATGTGTCGGCTTGTTTTCTCAATTTTTGAGTTTCTTATATACACTAACTTCTCTTTAAATTGGTTCCAAGATAAAACTAAATATCCAACATTGTTTGATCAAAGATGTTCAACTATATAAAATAGTTTTTATATAAATTTAAAATTCAGCCTATTTTTCACAAATTTAAAATTAAATATCAATTAATGAAAATCTGATATCAAAAAATTCCAACATAAGATTGTGGACAGCTAAATAACTCTGATAATGACAGAAATCAGGCTATTCATGTGCTATGCTCTGAAGTCTAACAATAGGAATTTACACCTCCATGTGATACCACTAGGAGGCGGACATGTAGTTATTGTTAGCACATTTACTGACAGAACCAAGCATTAAACAAGGGAGCTGATCAGTTAACCAGAGAACAAGAATGTTCAAGTATACTATTTATGTGGAAAACAAAACAAAACAAAATAATTGAGGCTTTAAAATCTGAATAAAATATAGTAATAATAACCCCTAAAGTATGTGCTTAGTGTCACTTTGGTCCTCGATTATTCTTTTAATCACGTCACTTTCATCCATTAAATTTTTATTTTGTTTCTCTTTATTTCAATCGAAAGCAATTGGTTAAGTTGACTAAAGAATGTGGTCACATGCGTGTCATGTGATGAAACTTTAGGGATCATTTTGGTCTCAAAAGTTTGCAAAATGTTTTAGTTTGGTCCTTTATACTTACAATTTGCATCCCTTTAATCCTGTACATTTTTAAAAAATGCACATCAATTGTAGTCACGTGAGATATATGTGACAATCTTTGTTGATCAATTTAAACTTCCATTTTTTGTTCATTCAAAGTGACACAAATTTAATATTTGAAAGACCAAATTTACACAATTAAAAAATTGAGAACCAAACTATCACAAAACTCATAAGTTTTTGCCTTTAAATTGTATACATTCATCAATTGAATATCCCAAATCACCTTTTGTCTTAAAGTGTTTGTCTTATGCACAAGCACANCTCATAAGTTTTTGCCTTTAAATTGTATACATTCATCAATTGAATATCCCAAATCACCTTTTGTCTTAAAGTGTTTGTCTTATGCACAAGCACATAGTCATTAGTGGGCTACGGTGAGCTGAAATCCATAGTGAAAAAAAAAATTTTTTAGTAAGGTATATGTATTATATATTTATATAATATATTATGTGTGCCCCCTCATTTATATCAAGCCCACATTATTTACCCAAAAAAATTAAAAAATTTAACCCATTTAAAACAAAAAAATTTGAGCTCAATATTATCTACACAAACTTTTTAAAGGGTTGTTTAAAAGCCGCTACACCTAATTAGACTTATTTGATAAAAAGTACATAAAATAAAATGTGAGTTAAAAAAACATAAATGCCCATTTTAGGGTCATTTAATTCAAAATCTCTTATCTTTAATGCACATTGATTCATTTGTATTTGTTAATACATATAAATACGTATTTAATGAACCTTGATATATATATGTGTGTGTGTGTGTGTGTGTGTGTGTGTGTGTGTGTGTATTAACAAATATACATAAATTAAGGTGCATTAAATATGTATTTATATGTATTAATAAACACACATTTATATATATATAGAGGTGTGTGTGTGTGTGTATAAATAAGTATATATATTCGTACACACACACACACACATATATATTTGTTGTTAAATCTCTTATTTAAATTTTGAATTATCATTAATGTACCCTGATTCATGCGTATTTTTTTTTGAAAAATAATTTTTTTTTTCAAATTATATTTAATTCACCTTGATTCAAGCGTTTTTGTTTTTTGGAAAATAGTTTTATTTTTAAATTAATTTAATATCCGAATAATATAATAGTATAACAATAACAGTGTAACAAAAACACTCTAACAAAGATAGTGTAACAAATACACTGTAAGAAAAACAGTGTTTAGTAGTTTTGTGTATATGGTAACAAATTCAAAACGGAGATGGACTATTTTGAATGAAATTATATGAAACTATATGTTTGACAAAATGTAATAGTATAATATTTTGTGTAAATAACTTGTTATACTATTATTGTTATACTGTTATATTATTAGTGTTACACTGTTACATTTTTATTGTTATACTGTTATTGTTAAACTGTTACATTTTTATTGTTACACTATTCGGATATTAAATTAATTTAAAAATAAAACCACTTTCTAAACAAAAAAATGCATGAATCAAGGTGCATTAAAAGATAATTCAAAATTTAGATAAGAGATTTAACAATAAGTATATACATACATACATAAGTATTTATATATATATATTAAAGTTCTCCCATAAAACTAGGAGATGTTTAATGCACCACTTTCCAAAGAAAAGTGATGCATTAAATACATATGGATTAATGTAGGGCAAAAATGCCACAATAAAAATAGATAAATTTAAATTATGTACTTGGATACAAATAAGTATCAAAATTAAGTACTTAATAACCCTACATTTTTTAGTGTGTACTTTTTGCCAAATAAGTCTAATTTGATGTACCCCTTTTTAAAATTTACCCAAACCTATTATAAAAACTTTTGACCCAACATTAAAAAAATAAAATTTTTGGCCCAACGTTAAAAACAAAATTTTTGGCCCACAATTAAAAAATAAAATTTTTGGGCCAACATTAAAAACAAATTTTTTGGATCATTAGTGGGCTATGTTTATGAGTTTACATTTGTATTTTGTTAATCGTATGAATGTTTAACTTAACCCAAAATAAACAAAAATTCTGATTCTGCCCTTGCTTCTGCATTTATGTGATTATCATTCTTCTTTTAGAAAAAGTCTTGCAGGCCCTAAAACACTGCACATCACATATTTCAACAAACACTTTTATTGTTATCTCACTTGTATGAGTGTAGGAGGACTCTTATTTGCTCATGTAATGTTTTGGATGAATCATATTTTGACAAACCCTACTTATTTATCTTTCGGAAGAATAAAATTGGGTATTTCACAGTAATGCTTTGTTTAGTATGAATGATGAAAAGTAGAAGGAATGAAAAATAAGAATGATGCACTTTCAATCCTTGAAGGAAGAAAAGTAAGAATGATATATGATGATGCATAAAATAGGTTTATGCACAATCAACTGTCGAGTATGTGATTTAGGGTAATTAATGAGGCAATCAATAAACAATTAATAATGAAAGACAAGTATTAGGTTAACACACAAAATGTATAATGGTTCGGTTAGGGAGACCTACTCCACTCCGGGAACGACAATAGTGGCTGGAGAACCTTTATTAATAAAATAAGGTGAGAGAGAAGTCAAAGGTGAGCTCCGGGAGATGTGTGGTAGCTAGGACAAAGAAATAACTATGTGAGGGGTGTGTCGAGAGATGCCCTCTCATGTAGAAAGAGCATACAATTTATATGCACAAAGCCTTAGTTGAGGCGATGATGTGATAGTAAATGTACTAGTCTTTCAGGGAAGATAATTACAAAAAGTAAGTACAATTAAAGATTGTCTAGATCTTCGAGAGTGTGCATCCCGACAATTGCTCCCCATGTGCTCTAATCTTCTTGAACTCCTTGGGCCTTAGACTAGGTTGAATCCACGGGCGGCGCTTGAAGGATCCTTTTAGCTGATCTAGGTTCATTTAATTTATTGGGTCTGACCCAATTGAATCTGGGTTCGTCATTTGTCCCCCATGCCCCAAGTCCCGGTTGCTTACAAGAGAAGGGGTTAAGAGTATGAGTGAGCTCTCGAACAGGTAGAAGGTACCTTGCTTCCCACAACTCATCCTTTTTCCATTATGCAATTATAGAGCTCTTTCTCTCAGTTTGATAATCACCGGGTTTGAAAAACTAATGTTCCGACGACTATATTTCAATAGCTTTGTAAACTTGATAGCAAGATCTCCTCTTTTACCTAGGCACTTGCCCTCTGGCTTTAAAGGGCATTTCTTGTCAAACCTGTCATATTCCCCTTTAGACTAGGGCTTGGAATCATTATTTTTCCCTTTCACATTCTACAAATCATTGGGCATCTATTGCATTTACCAATACCTCCCTTTTGCTAGGTTTTCCTTCTTGCTTGAAGAAAATCCCTATTTTTCGCAATAAAAATCTCATTAAAGGGCTTATAAGTACCCTTGCCCTCTTTACCCCACACCTTTGAGATTATGGTTCAAAATCTCTCCACCCATAAGAAGTCAAGGAAAATGGTGGAACTAAAATTGAAGAGGAGTTTGGAGAAGATGACAAGGGGTCCCACAAGAGAGAGCCCATCTGGAGATTTGGTTGAAGAAGGCAAAATTCGGACCATGCGAAGCCATGGGCAACGCCTTGGTGAAGCCCCAGACGGCGCCAAGCGTGGCCATCGAAAACGCCAGGCGAGGACCTTGGAGCCGTCAGATCGCAAGCAGGCAGAACCTCTGGCAATGCCAGTGGCTGTCCAAGCGCTTCAGGAAACAACGTTGGAGTTGCTAATGCGATAGGCGATGCTGTCGAAGACTTGGATGCTCTAGGCGACGGTGCCTCAGTCGTAGGAAGTACAGGTGATGCCTCGGGGTGAGGAATTGATGGAGATGGCACCCGAGGTAGGACTGGGGAGGATGGCGACGCTTGGAGAGAAGTCATGGGTCTTTGCGGAGAGTTGATATGCGAAACCCACGGGACACTTGGTGACGCCCATGGGGCACTTGGCGACACCCATGGGGCGTTTGGCGATGCCTCGAAGGCGGGAGGTATGAGAGGCTATTCATACGGGGACCTAGGCGGCACCGACAACAATTTGGGTTACGTGTTAGGTGGTAGTGCCCAGGGTGCAGGTATGGATCTGATGGCAACGCCATTGCTAATGGGTCCTTTATGAGGGGAGGTGGCGCCAGTGGCTAATGGGCTGATTGGGCGATGCCCCTTGGCAGCTAGATGACACCCTTAGGCAGCTAGGTGACTGGTCTATGCGGATTGGAGGCGACGCCTAAGGCGCTGGCACGACAAAACTTCGAACGACTATAGCTTTGCACTCGGTTATCCGTTTGATGCGAATTTTTTTTTTTAATCTGGGTATTTTTTTGAGATCTACGACATCCAATCAACCAAAGGCAGTTTGGGCATCGAATTTCTCCAAAAAATGATTCCTTATTATAGAATTTGAACTTTAATCACAAAAAAGTAGATTTTGCACGTGGCTTTTTGTATTTTCGACTATGCAGGGACTCAGCTTGTCTTGCTTTGATGCTGGTATTCCTTTGACATTGACTTTGTTTCTGTCTTGGTTCTGTTTTTTGGCAGGTACTCAATTTGACAAGGACATGACGAAGGTTGCTACACAAGGCTCTCAGCGAGGCAGAGGGATCTCTACGGGTGATAGTTCCAAGGTAACTTCTATTTTTAGCTCAATTGATTGCGATGATGACATTGCCCGCATCGTATCTTTGTTTTGTATCCCTCCCACCGTTATGTGTCGTCGGGCCGAGGAGGATGAGCCGGCGTGATATGACTCTTTAGGAGAGATTGTTATTTACGAGGACGTCCTGGAAATGGGTTTACGGTTCCTGATACCTAGGCCCATATGTCGGATTTTGGGACACCTATCACTGGCTCTAGGGAGGTTGACTCCCAACAAGTGGAGGGCAATCCTAGAATGCATCTCATTATGGCAGCTAGTTCATAAGGCAGACACTCCTCCACCTTTCGAGGAGTTCTTGACTTCGTACGTGCTTTTGGAGAACCCTACTCCTCATCAAGGTTGGTATCGTTTTTCCCCGAGGTTGGGCAAGCTTATTACTGGACTACCCTCGAATTTTCATAGTTGAAAATTTAGGTTCTTCTTTGTCGGAGGCGAGTGGGCCACTGAGGGAGACCGTTACTTGGTGCCTTTGAGGTGGGACACCGTTCTGAGGACCAAGCTAGGTAAGAATTTCACTTTTTGCTTTTATATCTAGTCATCGCATATATGTTCTTACTGTGAGATTGGTTCCCTTGTAGCTCCACCCACATTATCTACAGAGCAGGAAAGTAGACTCCAGGTAGTACGTGACCATCCTTTCAAGGATTTTTCAGAGATTATGTCCGCATCGGGTCGTCCCAAAGTCTCCCATGGGCCAAAGAGGAAAGGTATCTGATCCTTCCAATAGAATCTTCATGCTTTTTGTCTCACGCCAACTCCACAGGTACCTCTATTGATAGAACGATGATGAAGGCTCTTTATGTCTCCAGGGTGGCATCTTCCCCTACTTCCTCTAAGAGGGCGAAGCCCGATGCCCCTAGTGTTTCTTAGCCAAGGTCTCCTAGCCAAGTTAGTCCCTAGGAGGAGGGACCCAAAGATGCCCCCACTCCTTCCCAGATTGCTTTTCCTTCAGGTCATCTCAATTTGTAGACTTACTTTTATAGTGCCCAAATTTTTCATAATTATCATATTGAATTTTAGATTTATCACATTGTTGACCCCAATTATTATCTTTGTCTTTTCCTCAATCAGATTTTTTTTCCTTGTTCCTTAGATATTTGGATGCTGGTACTTCTAATTTGATTGGAGTCTACAAGGATTTTTGTTCTGAAACCTCTATCTTTTCATTCAATCTTTTTTCATGAGCTTGTAAGGAACCCATCAAATAATCAACCGTTAAGGAATCAAGATCATTTACTCCATAATAGACGTGACATTATACTCAAACCTCTTTGACAAAGTTCAAAAAATTTTCTCATAACTGGGAGATCTTTTACCTCCTTGCCGTTGGCTCTCAGCTAATTAACAATAATCAACATCCAAGAGAAATATTATGATATACTCTCTGATCTTTATATCTGAAAAAGCTCAAAATGCCGCCTTAGGTGGTCTGCAAATGAACCTTTTTCATTTTGTCATGTCCCACATAACAAATGATTAATTAGGACATCTTATGTCGCCTTTGCCGAAACATGAGCAATATTATCATATATTTATGGATCAATAATCCAACAGATATACATCAACATTAACTGTCTTTCTTTCGATTTTGTCTCAATTTATCTTTTTGGGCTTGTTTGAGATTTGCTTGACCTCCGAAATCTGTAATCTCATTTGTCACAATATCTGAAAACTCCATGGCTTTGAAGAACAACTCCGCGTGCATTCTTCAATGTTGAAAATTTGACCTCCCATCAAAATTTTTAACAAGGCATTGAATGAACTTGTTCCTGTTTGCCTTTTTAAAAATTGGCTTTGATACTAAATGTATGATCTCAAAAAATATCAAACAATCAAATATCACAAACACCCAATTGATCAAAGATCCAAGAAAATAAAACAGGAAATAACTAAAAATTGGAGAGTTGGAGAGTTTGAGTCAAACTCCAAACATAATTCAATGTCTCAATCACAAAATATGAAAAAAAGTTCTTCCAATACTCAAAATAAAGAGAGAAAGGAATAGGTTGATGATTGTTTTCAATTTGCATGGTTTACAAGCCAATTTTTTTAACAAAAAAGAATAATATGGATGGAACATAAACATGATATGGCATGTGATATAGTCACAATAAAAAAATTCAACAATTATAATAATATAATAATATTATTGAATTATACTAACTGTCATAATTTTGCTCTTTTAAATAGAAGCCACAATGATTGCCGTTCGTTTTTTTATTTTTATTTTTGATCAAATATGACTGCTCGATTGCCATTGGTTTGTGCGATGGGACATGATTTATGATGGTAGTCTAAACCATTGATCCAATGACTTTAGGTTCAGCCGGCCGTGCATAAAATGAATTTTGACTATGCTTCACATCACGAAACCTTCAACAAAACGACAGTGTTTGAAGGTTTGGTGAGGAGAAACTCTTGGAAGACTGACAGACAAAGGTGCCAATTTGATTCTCTAATAATCTAGATCACTTTTGATGGGCCCAAAGTCTTTTATGTTCTCCTAAGTGATTGCAAGCTTTCCCTTTATTTACGTCAACTATCGTGTTAAAGTCCACATATGGGTTCTATCATGTCATGAGTATTATAGGATGTTAATGTCCTGTAATAATTGGAGAAGTTGGTAAATGAATTTCAAAAATTTTGATAACCTCATTTCATGTAATGTAATAATCACTCTTACAAAAAAGTGAAATCTACTTTATTTATTTTCTAAACTTTATATTAACAATGACATGCTGAAGTAGTCTAACGTTACAATACTCCACATTTGCCTAGTGGAGATTTGTACGGACATATATCATTTTCAAACATCTATCAATTTCTAAGTAAATATAGTGATATCCTTTGAGATTCAGTAAAAATACATTTCATTCCATGTGATTTGAGAAATTACACTCAACCACGTGAAGTTTTTGGCCAACTTAAAACCACGCTCTTTGTTGTTAACGTACCAACCATTTTTAAATCAAATATCCACCATGCCCTTACAAAATTTAAAGCAAAAAAAAAAATTATCTAACCCTATAACAGGGAAGTGTTGCTCTTTGATGCATGTGCAAAGCATTAGAATCAATCTAACGTTATAATCAAATTAGTTATAATTATCATGAAGCCAATTATAACTTTGGATCTAAGGTTGGAGAAGATTTTTGGGTCATTTTGACTCAAATTTAAATTTGAGTTTAGATTTGATTAAAGGTTAGAGATGTTCTTAGACCCAAACTTATATCAAATGAAGACAAAACATATTCTGGACCTAGATTGAGGGAGACTTCAATCCTATATCAAATTTTCAACGGTAACTATTGAAAAAATTGGATGTAAATAAAGTGAATGACATGGTGAGGCACAGACTAGATCGCTCTCTTAAAACGATTCACGCCCCTTTATCAAAGAATCACACTGTAGAAGGCAGTAACGTGTCGTCCCCAGGATACAATAGCACAACCTATTGATTATTACTTCACTCAGATATGCACAATCGAATAAAGCAGAAACTTCACACACCTTTGAATATGGTCCAGAAATTTATATAGCAAGAAGATAGTTGATATCAGATTGTGTATCTTTATATTGAAAATATGTGTATATATACAAATAATATATGTGTCTAATAGACTATAATTACTTCTATATTTAATTGGATAATAACTTAAAAACTATGGCTGTTGGAATACTAGCCATTGGAGGCTTTTGGTATTCAACAATTGAAATTTTAATATAGAAGGTTCATAGATTTTAGAAATTCGTATCTCCTCCGCTAGTTCCACCCTTGCGCACGTGAAAGTCTCAAGATCTTTCTTTAATTCAAAGGTTAGGTAACCGTAGTATATATATATACTCAAGTACTTTTAAATATTTAGTCAATGTGGGATGGAGTTCCCACACATAAAAAAACACTCTTTTTTTAAAAATATTCTAACAATCCCCACTTATTTTTAATAAAAGATACACTATATAAGTAACCAGACAATAAATAGAATATCATGAATTGCAAAAGTGGCAATACCTTTAAACCTTTACTTAGTGCTTCAAAGTTCCCGTACTAGAGTCAAAGTGGACTTAGCCTTTAAATGATGACTACTTGAGTGTACGTAGAACTATATCACACACATGATATTCAAGGTGTCCAAAACCAAGCTTTAAAAATCCGAACATTTTTTGGCCTTGTGCTTTATCCTAGTTTCTTGAGTGTTTTAGAGAATTAGCCCAAATTCTCATACGAAGTGGTCTGTCTTCCACACTCATATAGGTGAGTCTGTCAATTATGTTCTTGTAACTAAGACATCCCACCCAAAAAGGGCTATAGAGCTAATTAAGAGATATTGATCTCATCCTCCAAATTTTCGTTGCGAGATCACATGTACTTTACACCATAGGGATGGACAATGAATATAAAATTTCAACAATTATATAAATTTCATTGGTACATGTTTCATAAACCAAGTCACTCTATGATTCGTTTGTCCCATTAACCTAGTTCTTGGGAACTCTAGTCCCTAAGTTGGATATCCTCATATGTAACTTGATCAGATTTGGGTTTGAGTCCAATCCCCCTCAATGTACTCTAAATCTTTTCTCTAGCTAGAGTTTTTGATAACGGATCAGCAAGATTGTCAGTTGATCTCACATAATCAACATTGATTGCACCATTATTCAGGTATGATCTCACAGTATTGTGTTTTTTTTCTCACAGATCTAGATTTTTCATTATAGTAGTTATTACGTACTCTACCTATTGCGGCATTGCTGTCACAATGAATTAACACATGTGACACTAGTTTAGCCCACAAAGGTATATCAAACAATAAATCACGAAACCACCCAGTTTCCTCACTAGTTGAAGCTTGCACAATCAACTCAACTTCCATTGTTGACTTTGCAATAATTTGCTACTTCTTTGATTTCCAACTTATGGTTCCACCACCTAAAGTAAAAACATAATCCTGTAGTGGACATAGAATCACCCGATAGAGAGTTCCAATCTGCATCACAGTAATCTTCAAGTACAGCAGGTTATTTCTTATAAAATAAATCAACATTTATAGTTTTTTTTAGATATCTCATAAGATGACATATTGCACTCCAATGATCCATACTAGGTCTACTAGTAAATCTACCAAGTACACCCACCGCATAGGCAATATCAGGTCTAGTACAATCAGTGACATATCTAAGACTACCAATTATGCTTGCATACTCTATTTGATTAATTACATCACTTTCTTTTTCTATTGGAAATAAATGAATGCTTGAATCAAAAGGTGTGCAAGCAGATTTACAATCAAAAAAGTTATATTTTTTCAAAAAAATTTCTTTGTAATGAGATTGATCAAACATAATTTCATCAACGCTCTTTGTGATTTTCATGCCAAGAATCACATTTGTTTGACCCAAGTCTTTCATGTCAAAATTTCTGTTTAGTAAAGCCTTGGTAGTCTCAATCACATATAAGCTAGTGCCAAATATCAAAAGATCATCAACGTATAAACAAATAATAATATGTTCACCATTTTTAGACTTTAAGTAAATACATTTGTCCCTCTCATTAGCGTTAAACCCATTAGCTAAAACACACTGATCAAATTTTTTGTGTTATTGCTTGGGTGCCTGTTTAAGGCCATATAAAGATTTAGTTAATTTACAAGCTTTATTTTCATGACCGAATAAACCCTTCTTGGTCCATATAAATTTCTTCTTCTAGATCACCATTCAAAAAAGTTGTTTTTACATCCATTTGATGTATTTCTAAATTATGTATAGCAGCTATAGATATTAGCAATCTTATGGATGCAATTCTACAGATTGGAGAAAATGTATCAAAGAAATCTAAATCTTCTTTTTGTTTAAAACCTTTAGCTACCAACCTCGCCTTATACTTATCTATCGTTCCATCATATTTGAGCTTTCTCTTTAACACCCATTTGCAACCTCTAGTTTTACAACCAAGAGGTAAATCTACCAATCTCCATGTTTTGTTTGTTATGAGTGAATCATATTCATCATTTACAGCTTCTCTCCATAAGTCTGAATCGGGAGATGTTAAGGCTTTTTGTAAGTTGGTTGGATCCCCTTCAACATTATAAACAATGTAATTTGAACCAAAATTTTTTTCTACTCTACTCCTCTTACTCCTCCTAGGTTCATATTCTTTTTCTTCTATATTTTTGGTCAATAATGAGCTAGGAATATCATTAGACTTTGACATATTATCATCACCCCCACTATTTTTTTATTTAAAAGGGAATTTATTTTCATAAAATATAGCATCTAGTGATTCAATTACCACACATTATTCTCTAGTTCTAAAAATCTATATGCTTTACTAGCTAGTGCATATCCAATGAATACACATCTAGATGCTCTTATTCCTAATTTAGGAATTTTAGGATCAGACATCCTAACATAAGCTAAACAGCCCTATACTCTAATGTAATTCAAGTTAGGCTTTCTTTTTCTCCACAGTTCATAAGGAGTAACTACATTTTGTTTGCGAGGAACTCTATTCATAATATAATTTCTAGTTAAAACTGATTTTCCCCACAAATTTTTAGATGCACTAGAACTAGCTAACATAACATTGGTTAAGTTAATCAAAGTTTTATTTTTACGTTCAACTACGCCATTAGATTGATGAGAGTATGGTGGTATAGTTTCATGAACTATTCCTAAAGACTGTATATGTTCAATTAATCCAAGTGATTCGTACACTCTACCTTTGTCACTTCTAAATTGTTTAATTTTTTTATCAAAATAATTTTTTACTTCTTTAATAAAAAAGATAACTTCTTTAATAAATTATTAGTGGCCTAAAGATGGAATCAACAATCGTAAGCCCTGAAACAAAATTCCTTAAGTCCATAATAAACTACAAATTCAGCTTGTATAGTGGAAGAAACTGTGAGAGTTTGTTTAACATTCTTTCATGAAATACTCCTCCAACTAACATAAAAATATATCCTGAAGTTGATTTTAAATCATCCGAACAACTAGTAAAATCTGAATTGAAGTATTTAATTACCTCAAGATTATCAACCCTATGATAAACAGGATTGCAATCTTTTGTCCTTTGCATGTATCTCATAATTTTTTATTTGCCACCCAATAATCTAATCTTAGTTTAGAAAGATACCTACCAAGAACACTAACTACAAAGACAATATCTTTTTCATAAAAGGTTATAGTTTTTGGCATCAGTAGAACAATCCCAGACATAAAAATAGTTAAGACTTGAATTTCCTATTGGTCTATAATTCAAAAATATTTTTGAAATAGATTTGCTAGGAACCCTATTAAAAATGTACAAAATTGTTTTACTAGCTTCACCCAAAGGTAATTAGATAAATTACACTTACTCATCAAGTTCCTCGTCATGTTTCAAGGGTATGGTTACACCTTTCTGCCATATCATTCCACTCGAGACTACTAGACATAGTATATTGGGCAACAATCCCACATTCTTGC